GCGTTGAAAGTTGTCGACAGCGTTTAGCGCGTAATTGAGACAATTAAATTGACTTTGACAATGGACGAAGGTTGCCCAGAAAGGGAAACGCGGCAAATCAGAAGCAACTGAAATATAATAAATAATCCCGAACGAGGATAGCTTCAGACCCTTTTTATGCTCTCTTTAGAAATTGAATAGAAGTATATTTGTTTCGTATATGCCTAGGCTGCCAACTAGGTTTGATATCGAACAGGTTCGAGCTCGAACATCCTCTAAACGAGTAGTTTTCCTTATAAGTCGAACTTTAAATCAAATTAGTTGATCAAAAATGAGTTGAATAGAAACAAAATGATAACTATAATAAACTAGGTTCATGAACTGAACTGCTTTCTAATTTTGTGGGCCTTGCCATGATATCTTAATAATTAAGAAGAATCCTTTCAAACAGAGTATTTTCGAATCGGTTGCAATCGTTTGCAATATTCGCTCTCCTTTTTTTTTGGGAGTTGGGCTTACGCAAAGCGAAAACCTTCAAGTTGTAATTAAATTTTGGTAGCTTGCTTTGACTTGGCTTTTGCCGGGCGCGCAAATTGCTTTGCCTAAGCTCAGAATGCGGCACATGCAGCTGTTGCTGCCGCATATTGCACGCTGCCTGTTGCATAACTGAACACACAAGCGCTTGCCGTTGCTTAGTATGCATTGCATTTTCTGTCCCTTTGTGGCAGCTTAAGGATCTGCAAAGGATTTGCGGGTAAGGGGGGGGGGGGAGGCAAAGCCACAGTCGAGGCGGGCGACAAGTAGCGACTGATTTTATTATGCAGAAAGCGATGCACACACACGCACACACACACACACACACACACACACACACATGTGCACATGCCACAGATTTAAGTCCTGCCATGACAGTCCTGCTGCGTCTGTTTCCACCTCCCCCCCCCCCCTCGCTCTTGTCCCACGCGTAATTGGAGCGTAATGTGCTAAAGTGACAGTCACGTGAACTGCGTATAATTTGCTGCCTGTTTGTTGGTTGTTTGTGCCCCCCGCCCCCCACAACTGTTGCATATTTTATGAAGTGATTACATTTGCCATCGACTAACATTTCCACACCTGCCAGGTGCAGTTGCCGCAACTGAACGCGGCCTGCATGTAAATGAAACTCTTTGACATCCACGCAAATCATTTGGAGTTAGCGCTGAAAGGTAGCCGAGTGTTTGATTCGATGCAAGAATCTGTGAAATTATTACCTATAGAGTGCATAAATCAAATAATTACAATAGAAATATATTAATAAATAAATCAAAGCAATTTAGAGAGAAAACCTCGACTGAAATGTCATCAGGCAAGTGAATCGCTTCAGATTCTGTCAAAGTCATCTTTGAACTCTACATAGGCTTTTTATTTTGGAATTGGAAAAGCATGAAATTTGCCAAAGATTTAAAATTAAGGCTTTTACTAATTAAAAGCGTAAATTGAAAAAGTTAAGAAACAATTAATTTCTGTATATTTATTCATTTAGGTATAAATAATCTTTAGCTGCACAATCATAAAATAATTGAGGTTAATCATGATAAAAAGGCGATCGAACATGATGAAACTGTCAAACTTTAAATCCTAAATTATTAAAGTTCAAATAAAATTCAAAATAGTTAAAAAACATATTTACAAAATAATAATTTTTGAGATGCACAATCAAAAATAATTATTGCATAATAAAGTTGCTATCGCTTATGATGGGGATAAGGCAAAGCATTAAAATGATAAATATAATTGAAACCGTGTACATAAAATTACAAATTTTTGACTTCTTTCCTGATCTATATACTTTGACTCTCTGTGACAAATGTCGATGACTTTTATATTTTGCTTTACAAAATAAAAGTCATTGAATGATTTTATTTATATAAATATCTTAAATAATTGCTATTTTTATGCGAGTTTTATTAATCCCACGTAATTTGATTGATATTTTGGATTAATATTAAGCAAACGCAAAATAACAGTTAAAGTTGAATTTTGTCTTTTTAAATAAAAGTTGTAAGCGCGTCGTTTAATGGAATTCAGGAGAATTATAAGTCAACATTTTGATACTTTGATTGGTTTACGTTTTTTTGTTTTATTTTTTTTCAGAGAAACGCACTCTCGACTATAATATGCCTGTTTTTATTCAACTGGTAACTGTTGGAAATATATATAAATAACGAATTTTTTTCGTATGCAAATTTGTGTAGTGACTCGCATGTCCTTGTTTGCCTACAAAGTGGATGCAATGCGAGCTGCGTGCGTTTCCCATGTCAATGTGCATCCCCCCTCTCTCTCTCTCCCTCCTTCTCTCTCACTCTCTCATTTTGCATATATTTGTCGTTTTTTTTTTGCTGTTGTTCGCGTGGTCACAGTTGCAATTGAGCAAACATTTTTGTCGTTCAACCATCACGAAATTTATTTTAAAACTCGTTTCGATTTGGAATCAAAAGTTCCAACCTCGAATCAGCCTCTCTCCCAATTTTTCCTGGCGCAGCCTTTATCGCCGCTTATTTTGTTTAAAATTCCCAACTAAACATTTTTTGTACAATATTTTCTATTGAGCGTTGGGCATTCGGGCTCGGGTTTCGGTGTTGCCAACCTTTTTCAATTTTTGCTAATCCGGCAACACAAAAAAAATATAAAAAATTGTAGAAAAGGAAGAAATTACATTGAATTTGAGTACGCTGTGAGCTCTGCAGGAAATGTGAGCATTGGTTAACTGAATGCGTGGGCTGATGGGGGGATGGGTATGGTGGTAGGGGGAAGGGGGGAGGGTAGCTATTGGCACGCTGAAAAAATGGTATATATGCTTTTGATTTCATTTGGGTTTTTATAAAACTTTTTTTGGGAGTTTTATATTTTGCTCGCGCTCGTTTGTTTGTCAGCCACACGCTGAAAATTGCGGAAATCAGACAAAGATAAAAACGCTTTATAGATATATATGTTAAATGTGTGTGTGCGTGAGTGTGTGTAGGTGGTGTACTCAGGAATAATATTTTTATGAGCAAAACGGATTTTGTGACAGCTTAGCTTGGTTTATTGCATTCGATTGAAATTGTGTGCATTGTCTGGACTGTACGATTTCTATAATTTTCTTGAGCTTTGATTTTGGTTTTTCACTCTTCTTTGTATGAGGTGCTGGCGCTAAGCCGCTTAGCCAGCGTCAGCGTGCCGCATGTGTCTGATAAGTTTTTAATTGCCACGTCATGATGCAGCAGCAGACGCGGCTGACGCGGCAGAGGGTCGTGCCAGTTTTGACCCACAGTGCAAGAAGTGCTGCATCATCTTGAACTTGTAATTATGGGGCCTTGCAGACAAACAAAAATTCAATAAAAAAAAAATTACATTTGACATTGAAATTGATTTGTTTTGGCGGGACATTGAATTTATCTTAAGCGTTTCGGTTTCAGTTTCAGTTACGGTCTTCAGAGTTGTGTTTGTAGAATGTGAATGAGGAAAAAAAATGTGGTATATGTATAATATTGACAGATTTTTAAATTGAGTGCGAAATATTCTTCAGCTCGAGCAAACAAACAAACAAACAAACAGAGCAAAAGATAAATAGATAAATAGATAAACAGTTGGCAAAGCTCAAGAAGTGCCCCATCAAGTCATAGAGATGCCAATGACCATGCCATTGAGCCGATTTGAGCTGCGAAACGAACATCAAACAAACAGATCTGTTGGCTCCAACCAGTTGCAACAGGTCTGAAGATAGCGCCCAGACCGATGCGGCACAGTGTTGCCGGAGTTTGAGAGTAAAATAAAAGCTATATTGACTCAAAAAATATCTAGAAGTGAATAAACTTAATTAAAAATTAGCTAAAAGAGCGGCAAATATGTATGCTTATGTATCTATATTGACATATGATATAATGTGGCTAAATTTAGCCAACATAGCGCCATTAACTGATGCGGAACAGTGTTGCCGGAGAGAGTCAAAAAAGGCTATATTGACTCACAAAATGGCTAGAAGTGACTAAGCTTTATTACAAATTGTTGTAAAAGAGCGGCAAATATGCGTGGCCAAAAATTGTTAAAGTTAGCTAACATAGCGCCTTGACTGATGCGTAACAGTGTTGCCGGACAGAGTCAAAAAAGGCTATATTGACAACAAAAAATGGCTAGAAACTTATTTAAAGAGCTGCAAATATGCTTATGTAAATATATTGACACATGATTTTACTAAAAGTGGTTAAGAAATTTTCAAGTTAGTTAAAATATGCTTATAGAGCTGAAAATAGCTATATTGATACAAAAAATTTGCTACACTGGCTAAACAAATCAAAAAGTTAGCTCAAAATATGCTAAAAAGGTGCTTAAAGTTAGTTTAAAATATGCGTCAATTGACCTTTGTTCGTGTGGTCAAATTTGCAATTGAGCAAACATTTTTTCGTTCAATCATCACGAAATTTACTGTAAAATTTGTTTCGATTTGGAATCCAAAGTTCCAACCTCGAATCAATCTCTCTTAACCTCCAACCTCAAACCTATCCTTTATCAATCTGAATTTAATTTAAAATTCCCAACTAAACATTTTTGTATATTTTTTATTAAGCATTGGGAATTCAGCTCGGGTTTCGGGGCTGCCAACTTTTGCAATTGTTACATTTCAATTTCAATCAACGAAAAGTTAGTTTAAAATATGCTACAATTGCCAAACTGGCACGAAAAAAGTTGTAAAAAAAGTGACTAAACATATCTTAAATCGAACTACAAATATGTCAAAACCTATAAATAGACACTTTAAACATTTTGAACGCTAGCTAAAAATATGCTATAAAATTGATAGTGTGGCAAAAAACTAAAAAGGCTAAACAAAATTTAAGTTAGCTATAAATATGCTGAAGGTATAAATGATCAATATTGATCAAAATTTCCCTTTCGCTGTCTTTTACAAAACATTATTTGAAGATGCACAAACAATTATATATTGGCGCACATTTCACGCTGAATTTCTAGCTTTTCAGTTTTGGATGTAGCCATAATTTAGATTGAGTGGCAACACTGTTGCGGAAGGTGTCGTCGCGCTAAATGTTTTTGATGCAATCAAACAGAGCAACAACAACAAAATAGAAACTGAAACGCATATTTAATTAAGATTCCGGTTCGATAGCTCGAGTTCGTGTTCGGATCGAACGTGGCGCTTCTTGGCAATCGCTTGCTAATTTTTCTTATAAATAGCCACAGATATTTCAAAAACGCATAGCATAACGCAACACTCCACAGGCCCAGCCACAACTTGAGTCACAGAAATGGTAAGTTCAATTAAATTTTGGGAAATTTCCAGCTCAGAGCTAGATCAAAGACGCCTTTTCAATTGTCTGCAGTTTAATACCAAAACACAAGCCCACAACCTTGGCCTGATGCTGCTGCAGCAGCTGCTGCTGCTGCTGCTGCTTGTGGCAGCTGTCAGCGTGGATGCTGGAGCGTTGCGGCCGCGTCGCGATGTCTCACACCTGCCGCTGGAGTACCTGCCGCCTGTGGTGCTGCCGCCGCTGCCTAGTCGCGATTACCTGCCGCCCGTGGAGCAGCATGCGGCCAGCCTGGCGCACGTGTTGAACCCACCTCGTGATTATCTGCCACCTGTGGAGGCAGTGCAGCCGGGCAACGAGTACCTGCCGCCCGCGCCCCTCGAGCAGCTAAGCGAGTCAACAGCCACAACAACTAGCACCACAGAGCTGCCGACAACAGAGGCCGTGCCCACCACCAACCCCACCACGGAGCAGCCCGCAGCTGTGGAAACCGAAGCACCTGTTGTGGAGCCCGAAACGCACGAGGATATTGTGGAGCCAGCCGGCGTGCTGCACGCGGATGGCTATCATTATGCCGCGCCCGACATCATACCCGACCTGACGCCCACAACGGCGCCCGTCGAGGCCTATTTGCCGCCCCTCGATGACAATGCGGTCGTCGCCGAGGAGCTGCCCGAGAGCGAGGAATCCGCCGCTCTGCTGGACGATGGCTATCATTATCGCGCGATCCGGCGGTTGCGCTTCTAAGTGGACTCTACGCATTTTGTTAACCGGCATTTGTTGTTTATTTTTACACACGCACACGCACACGCTAACAGTAGCAAAGGCTTGCAATAAAGGAATTTTCTATTGATACGCAACACTCGCAAACAACTCAATTAGATGGAGAGAGAGAGAGAGAGAAGGGCTGCTGCCGATGGATATTTATGTGTGCGTTAGAACATTTCATTTGATATTGATGACAGGAAATTAGAAAAATGTTTTCATTCTGTTTGCCACACGACAAGGCAAAAGCACACAAAAAAAAAAGAATTATGGAAGCCTTTTTTTGGCATAGCGAGAGCTAAATACCCTTCTAATCAGAAGTGCATAGAGATTTCTTTCAGACTGATTGTGGCTATAGGAGCCATATAATATATGAGTCCGATCTTGTTTACTTGTAAGGAGCTTTATCTAACTAATAAGTCAAGATGCGTTGGGCACAAAAAAGTTGTTCAAACACAAGCTATATATAGTTACCATATATAGCTCCGATCTAGCCGACTTCGAAGTATGTATTGTAGTTAAAAATTTCATGACGATAGCCTCAAAACTGATAGACAGATGGACGGACATGTCTATATCAAACCGATTAGGATTATATACACTTTCTTCGGTCGCAACATCTGCACCGTTAAACATTTTGTGACAGCATCATAATAGGGTATAAAAACTCTTTCAGCGACATGCTCCATTTCTCATCATCATCGTCCTTTTTAGCGGCGTTCGCCGCCTTGCCGATGCCTCATCATTTCCGTCGTCCTTGCTTGTCCTTTCGCATGTGGCTTCACAATTGATTTGTCTTGCTGTTTGTTGTCCCTGCCTACACTTTGCAATCCTTGCGCTGTCACAGGGCGTCTGTGCCTGTGCGCCTTGTTGACACATCGTTGTCCTTTTTATTGTTGTTTTTTTCATTTTTATATTTTTATTGCCTCTCCCCCCGCCCGCATACACTTATTTTGATTAGGCAAGTTCAGAAGTTCTCGGCATTATGTCTTCCCTGTGTCAATAATGCAGCAATTTTCCAATTGTTTCATTAATTTTTCAAACGCTTTAAATGTTGTCGTCCGTTGGCAGCGGATGTTTCGAATTTGTCATTAAGTTTGTCACGTTTGTATGCGAGTTATTTACAAACGGATCGGATGTATATATCCTATCTGAGGCGAAATGTGTTAGAAATTGAGTTTTGTATAAATAATTTTATTAAGCCTGTTAATTAATATTTATTGTATTGCTTTTTTCATTAGTAATTCCATTAGTATTATTTCATTATTAAATATTTCATTATTATTATTTTATTATTATTATTCTCCTCCTCTTTTGCTTGCTATGATGTTTGCAAGAGTTTAACTAATATCTAGACTAAACTCGTGAGAATTTCCTGATTTCTAAAGCTTTTCAGATTCTATCAAAAGCCTCTTTAAAATGCGCTACCCAAGCCCAGTTTTATCTTTTGAATAATCAAAGTATTATTGGCAGTAACTTTTTGTCAGGGTATTTAGCTTTGAGCCCAAATAAAAGCTGCCTCTTGGCTTTAATATGCTTGCCAAAAACATAAACATGAATGGCCATATCATGCCTTTGCTCTTGAATTATTTATAAATGTGGTAAGAATCGAAAATCAAACTTTATAAATTGGCTGACAAGTTGAAAGCCAAGCAACAAGTGGCAACAGTTGCCTGCAACAGCCAAGCGCCATTACGGCCAACAAATGTTGCGGTTAGCGACCCGTAACCAAAAGCAAAAAAAAAAAAAAACACCCAAAAAATAAAGAACACCCCAATTTAAAAGGAAAAAAAAACAGCTTTAACGACAGCCCCGCCAAGGAGCCAAAACAAACACCTGTAAACAGTCGCAAGCGTCGCATTGAATGTGCCCCGCGTTGAATGTGGCAAATTGAAACGGAAAAGCTTTAACGGAAAGCTTCGTTGTCAATATTCAACGAAGCCGACAGGAAAAGCGCATAAAAGGCCGTTGCGTCGGAAAATTCAAGTCAGTTGCGGTTTCAACGTGGCCGAATGCGAATGCGAACCAAGCCGCAAAAAACCAAGCGAGATCGAGAAAAACGTTGTGAATAGTGAAAACTTATCGGTTCGGGGCACATTTGAAAAGGTATCAAAAAAGAAAAACCTTAAGAAGTCATTCAGTCAAAAAGGTGTAAAAAACAGTTTCCAAGCCAAAAATAAAAAATGATCGAGAATAAAGCTTATAAATGGATTTAAGTTTAAATTAATTTATATATTGACAACGCAAAATCATATTTAATTGCATAAATGATGATTGATGACATATAAAAAGAAATTATAATGAACTAAAAATAAGTTAATTTTACAAAAAGTAGAGTACGGAAAAGATTGAATAATGTGTGGAAAAGTAAACCAAAAATTAAAGAAACTATTTCTTAAACTATATTAAAAGTATGATAAATTGATGAATATAAAATCAAGAAACTGAAATGAAAATAATGAAATGCTAAACTAAAACCCAACAGACAAATTCACTGCGGAAAATATAATATAATATAACTGAAAGCAGCCAATTTAAATGAAAAGCATGGATCACAAATATATAAAAGAGAAAATTAAATTTATATGAAAATCAAATATAGAAAATTGCCGTCGTTATTGAATGCAAACAAAGCAATTCATATACTCAATTCGTAGTTAATTCAAATGCATTAGAGAAAACCAAATTAAATGAAAACCAAACCAAAAACAAGGAAAATATTTGTTTTAATTGGCACAAAATAAACCAATTTATTTGCAAACAATAATAAAATAGAAGAGACTTAACTAAATTAAATGGAATCGAAAATCAAATACAAAATATTAATTTCAAACAAATTATCGCGAAAATTGAAATCAGCATAGAAAATACATTTTGATTTAATTGAATTACGCCTCATTAAAAATATTAAACATAACTGAATTAAAAGCACATAAAACAAAAATAAAGGTGCATAAAGCAAAATAAAAATAATAATTTTACGCTCAATTAAAATGAAACTTGAACAAATTCGCAAATGCAATTAAAATGCAATTAAATTGTGCAAAATGTTTGCGAAAGCAAATCAAATTAAATGTTACATTAAATACGCATATCTCCAGAAATTTTTGGCTCAACGACAACAACAACAACAACAAGAAACAACAAACAGAAACAACCGCAAACAGCATGTTTATGGCTCTGAAATTGAATACATTTTGTTATTTGTGTATTTACATTGGCAACAAAACTGCATTTACCTGTGTCTACAGTTGTTGTTGCTTTTGTTGTACCTGCTGTGTGTGTTGTGTGTGTGTGGTATTGTGGCACAGTTTATTAATAAACATCGGCCACATAGAACAGATAATGAGAGCGCGTATACGCGCCGTTGCCCGCGGCCCCATATGTTTGCGTGTGTGTGTGTGCGTGTGTGTGATTTGTTGTGTTTGGGCGTGTGTGTGTGGCACGCTTTTGTATTTATTAATAACAAAGTAATCAGACATTGTAATCTCCTCGCAAAAGCGTATTACAGCAGTCATAACAATGGCAGCAGCTCAAGCAAACCCATAGGCCCCCCCCCCCCCCCTCCTCCCCATCCCCCCCTTCCGCGCCATACCCCGCAGCCTGTCCGTCGATTTGCTTTGCTTTATCCGGCTGTCGCTGCTGCTGCATCCTCTAAGGTTCTGCGGCATTGTTGTTAGCGAGGCGCACTTCCGCCTCAAGTGGCAGCAACAACAACAACAAATTGTTTCACAATATTTATTTTTTTTTTCATTTTTTCTCTTTTTGCTTTCCATTTTATTTTGTATTATTTTCTAATTTGGCGCTTCATTTGGCGCGGGCGCGAAATCAAAACCAACAAATGACTCGATTCTCAGTACCCAATTCTCTCGATTCTCCATTTGATTTGTGTGTGTGTGTTTTTTTTAATCTTGTTTGTTGTTGCTGCTTTTCGCTATATTTTGCATTTTTAATTTCGCTTCAATTTGCGTTGATTTCGCTTTGAATGCTGGCGCCTGATTGCCCACGCGTGGGCGGGGGCGGGCGTGCCACATATTGATGGGCGTATGGCGTGTTTATGATCCAACTCAACAACAGCAGCAGCAACAACAATTGCAAAAACAATAATTTGCTACGCTCGTCTGTCTGTCTTTCATTTAATGTTATTGCAACCAGTATTTCGCATGCAAATTGCATCAAATTTGGTGTCAGGCTCGCCCGTGACACGCCCACCTCACCCCTCGCTTGATGCAATTGGAGTTGACAGTGGGTCAAACTAATAAGCAACAAATTAATTTGATTTGCATATATGTGGCACCCCGCGGGCAATTAGGCGTGCGTTTGTGTGTGTGAGGCGTGCAACGTTGCGTATGATTAATATTGAAAAGTCGCGGCTTAAACGGTTGCATTTCGGGTTATTTCACACACACACACACACACACACAATGCAAAATACATGAAATTCCAAATATGAAAAATTAAAAACCACAAAAAAGCATACAAAAGCTGTCAAGCAGAAGGCAGCAGAAGGCAGCAGCAGCAGCAGCAGCAGCGAATATTGAAGCGACAACAGCAACAAATCAGTTTAATTTAAATTTTCCTTTTCAACAGCAGAGTGTGCGTGCGTGTGTGTGTGTGTGTGTGTGTGAAAAGGGAAGTTTTTTAGCGCATTTTGTGCCAAGACCTTCTTTTGCGCAGACCCAAAAACAAACAAAAAGAAACAAATAAGGAAAAACACTCGGCTTGACAGGCAAATGGGGCGCAGAGAGGGGTGGGAGTGGGGGCAAGGGCAGAAAGCGGGGGAGTTGCAAAAAGTATTTATTATAATTATTTGAGATATTTTTCATTTAAACGCGCATTTCATTTGTGTTGCCGTGCAGCAAAGCAAAACAAATGTTGCAAGGCCCGATGCCAGCCCCTTGTTGTACTTCAATGCATACAAAATGAACAAATAAATAATCAGCCCAACCAACAAGAGCAGCAGCAAGAAGAGCAGCAGCAGCAGCAGGAGCAGGAGCGGAAGTAGGAGGAGGAGTGGAAGCAGGAGCAGAGATAACGCTGCGTACTTAGAGGCGTCA